TGATGAACTGACCTTTGAAGATATGAAGTTTTGAAGAACACTCGAACATCCTTTATCTTTCTAGAAAATTTGGCAGCACTTCGTTATCTCAAGATTGCAATGGGGAGCCTCTTCGGAGGGAGGGGATATTTATAGACCTCCCCCCAACGGTCACTACACGTGGCATCCATCCATTGGCCACGTGAACGGCCACCACCCCACAGGCCCATAGGGCTGGCACCGGTTCAAAGGACGGGTCAGGCCCACTTCCATTAGTACTAGCCCATCACCAACGTGACAGTAATCAACTTCCACAACGGCCACACTAGGGAAGCTCACCTACATCGGCCTCAACACAAAGATGACTTCAAAAGGGTAGGTCACACCACGAGGTGTGCCCATATCGGCCCAAACAAGAATACCAATAGCATGGCCCTTTCAACGGCCACAACAGCGAAGCAAAAAGCAACCCCACAACCATCGGCCTTGTATAAAACTCTGATGATAATTTCTTGAAAGCGACCTGCGTCCAAGGGTTCTCCCACAGGGTTACCTTGGTCAGGAAATCGCCAAGGAGTTGGATTCAGGGGAATACAAGAATCCCGCTTCGGCCCGGGGGATCCTTTACTCCTTCACCCCTCGCTTACTCTTCGGCCTGAAGCAGTGGGGGACTGGGGGACTACACCGGCTTTTGGAAATCAAGAGGACAAAATCAAAGAAATCCAAAAATATACTAAGTCCACAACTACAACATCAGATCATATATGCACCACATCGTCCATAACCTTGTGGTGCACCATCAGCCGCAGCTAAGTCAGCAAACAAAGAATTCCCTCCAAAGATGCAACACCTAAGATCACAGGGCACTCAACGGCTTTGAGACCGCATACTCCACTCTCGTCCAGGAATTAAAACAGGAACTCAACGTCCTCAGATCATCGTTGTCCATGAGACCAGGATATGCGCTACTCCTTCCGGATCAATGCCGCTATCGTCCTCAAAAGCATGGACACCAAGTTACGAATACCACCACTCCTCGGCCAAAAGCACAGAATGAGAACCACGACGGCCAAAGAAAGCCAATAGTGCCCTCACCGGCCACCCGGAAACGAAAGGACACCCATCCTCCCGAAAACAGGAGATAACCACAACGGTCTTCTTGGCCCAGAGTACGTAATTCAACCATCAACGGTCAGTAGTAAGAAAACACCGCCACCATCGGCCACTCATGACAGAGAACGTTCATCGTCTCCACCAAGCAAAGGCACTCATCGTCCTCAAACAGAAAACAGCATCACCCAGGGCTAGGGCCCTCTTCGTCCACACAACGGCCAGAACGCAGAGCGCCCGTAGCAAAGAAAAATAAATGACTAAAGCAAAGGGTGCCCATAACGGCCACGACTTTATAGCGGCCCCACAATGGCCAGAAAACGTCAACGCCAGGGAATATACTCTCCTTCACCTCGTCTACATCTCAGCTCAGAGAGTGGGGGACTCCTGATGGAGTATATGGGCCTAGACCCCAGGGCCCACATACTCAGGAAAACAGAAGGTACCACGATCACCTGGTGGGACCCTCGTCGACCAGATGACCTCCATCGGCCAGAAAGAAGTCTACTCAGAATATGATCCAGAAGCCAGGAGAACCGGGTGACCTCGTCGGCCGGGTCCTCGTCGGCCATGCCCTCATCGGCCATAGATAGCCACCAGAATAGGATTTTATACTTAATCACTTCTATACACTTTGTATCCGGCCCATTAGTGGCCCTATTGTAAATGGGCCTCCCAAGCCCAAGACTTGGGAGCCCAGCCCTAATTTTCTCTATAAATACTTCCCTTGGGGGTAGTTATAGGGGTTGACAAAATCATTAATACAAAGCATTTAGTGCACTTCTCTCTAGATATATAATCTATCAGACAAATCTTTAGGAAAAACCACATATTTGTCACCTCTTTCTATCAAATAATCATGCCATTTTTTTCTAAGTTGACCATTATTTCAAATACGTCTCACCCCCCCCCCCCCCCCTTGACTACCTCCAAAGATGATCCTAACACTGTTAGACCATCTTGCACACATAAATTAATAACATGACATGCATATCGTTGATGAAAAAATCTACTCATCAAAGAAGTAGAACCACACAATTCACGCAATCTAGGAATAGCAGCAGTATTATTAGTAGCATTATCAAAACCAATAGCAAACACCTTATCAATTAAATTATTCTTAATTAAAATACGCTCAATCAAAATATAAATATGTTCAGCGGTGTGACGATCATTAAATTCACGAAAAGCAAGAACACGTGTATGCATATTCCAATCATTATCAATATAATGTACAATCAGACCCAAATAATGTAAATTATGATAAGTATCCTTCCATATGTCAGAACATACAGTAACACGCTCATCAAAGTTTGCAAAATAATTTTGTAACCTTACCTTTTCCGCACCATAAAGCCTTGAAATTTCTTTCTTAACCGTTTTGCGACTGTAACCTCTATATTGAGGATTTAAACAAGTTTGCGCATAATCACGAAAAGTAAGACTTTCAGAAAACAAATAAGGCAAATTTTCTTCAACAAGTAAGTTAGCCATACCTGTCAAATTTTGTGCATCATTGTATAAGAAATTACCAAAAGGTTGTTGGTTATTTGCAAATCTCGATATTTGAAATTGCTTCCCCATTCCGCCGCCTAATTTTGCATACTCCACCGGGTGTTTGGCCTTAAGATGCCTTGTGGCGGATCTGTATCCGCTGGAAATCCTCAAGCTATAATTTTTCTTGCACTACTTGCAAGTTGCATTCCAATTCCCGGTGTTCGGATCCTGGGTTAATTATCAAAATAGGACTAAGAGTCACTCAATTTGCACAAATAGGACCAAAAGATAAACAATGTTTTCATAGGACTAATTATGTGTGTCTTGGACAAATATACAGTTATAGCTATCGAAATGTTTTAATTCATATTAAAATAATAAAAAATAATAATAAATTCGTAAAAATACTAAAAAATTTATAAAAATATTTCGATAATAATAATTTATTTATTTATTTTAAAAAAATAAAATAAAATAAAATAAAAATAATAAAAAACTCAAAAAAATAAAATAAATTTCACCGCTGCCTCTGCAGCCTCTGCACCACCACCTCCAGTCACCAAGGGAAAAAAATTCCAAGTTCATTACGAATGTCATATTTATGTCAGGAAACAATGAAAATGTTGGCATTCTCAAAGAGAAATATGCCATGTTTTTAGCATTTTCAGAAAAAATGGCAGTTTTTACGAAAAATGGCATTTTTTCACCGCCCAGAGATGGTGGTGCAGGGAGGTAGTACAGGCGGTGGGAAAGGCATCCATATTTTTAAATTTTTTTATGGAGTTTTACTATTTTTTATTAATTTTTTTAAAAAATAAAAAAAATAATTTTTTTAAATTATTTATTTTATAAATATTTTATAAATTTTTTAATTATTTTTCTACGATTTTTTGATTTTTTTTAAAATTTATTATGAATTAAACATTTAATTAACTCATATTTAAAGGAAGGGTAAGAATGGAATGAAAAAATAGGTATGTTTCCAATAGGACTAATTTGGTCCTATTTTGAAAAGAAAAACACAGTAAATACTATTTTGAATTTTTGCCATAGTTTTAGTCCTATTTGGAGTAATTTCTAGTCCTTCCACTTATCAAAATTATTTTGCATTAGTTCAGATCTACTTTTTTTCGTACCTGTTTGGGATGAGGCAGGCTCGTCGGCGTCGTGGCTGCCGCCACCCTCCTCCGCGTCGCCGTCATGGCTCTCCAGAATTACTTCCTCCACATCGTCGTCTTCGAGCTCTTCTTCGTCAATGGTCCTCGGCTGGTATTGGAAAAACCGACTATTATGTCAGTGCAATTATTGTTCAAGTTGTTCATCGGTCATGGCATCCACATCCCTCCTTGCGTAACTTGTATCAAAATCATCTCGGCTTTGAGATGAAGTGCCGATATGTGATTTACCTTTGCGGGATTTCTTCCTCGCAAGCTCGTTCATTCGGTTGTGCTCGAGGTTACCCATATCAACCGAATATCTACCACCTTCCATCTTAAAAATGTAACAAATATTAATTTATAAAAACAATTCGAACTAATGAAATAAAATTCTAACAATTCTAACTAAGTACATATAAATTGTAATATGTATGTATTTAGTAGATATAAGTAGATAATTAGTAGATAATAAGTAGAGATTAAGTAGATAACAAATATAAGTAATATAATATATGTATTTATAAATAGATAATTAATATATAACTATATAAGTAGATAAGAAATATAAGTAATATAAATTATAATATATGTATTTCTAAGTAGATAAATAATATAAGTAGATAATTAGATATATAATATATTCTAGAATAAGAGAATTTGAGAAGATGAAGATAATTAGAGAGTAGAATTTTGGAGAAGAGATATGGAAAAATGTCTAAGATTAGGAGTATTTAGAAAAATCAGCATTTGTCCAATGCATTTGGATGACTTTTTTAACAAGGTTCATAGCTATTTTCCATGCATATGGAAGGATTTCTTAGCCAGATTCGTTGACCTCTTTATCAATTGGATCATGTCTCTTATGCATTGGGCCACTATTTAATAATGGGCTCAAAATCAAGAAATTAATAGGACCAGTTTATTCTTTTAAGGATTTAATTTATAATTAAATTAATTGGACATGTGAGCGATCCAAATTAATTTAATCACTAAATTATATTCAAATGGGCCCATATTAATATTTTCCTCTTTTTTTTATCAGGCCCGACAACCATTACAAGCAATCCAATAGAATTTGTCGTTGAGTCAATAAATTCAAAAGAGGTCCAATAAATTTTACATGTCTACAAATGCCCCCTCGAGATTTACTTGGAACGTTTTTTTTTAAACGAGCAAAGTAATTCTCGAACATGGACCGATCCAAGTCGCCGTTATAATCCATCTTTATCAGGAAATTCCTTCTTTTGTTAAATGTGCCCAAAACTTCAACAAAATATCACTTATTGGACCAATTAATGATTCATATCACTTATCAATGTAGTCATCAACTCAAATGTCAATTAAGTCGGTCCTAGTAACCTGTGCAGCACAAGATAGATCAAACGTTTAATAGCTTCAGGCATTCAACTAGGATTGAAATTCATCCGTCATAATTTACGAGGTCCTAATAGAACTTCAATGCTCTAAAGGGCTTCCATATAAATATAACCTCTGCGTAAATATTCTTGCACCATAGCTATCAAAGATCTCTGGAAGCAAAATTAATAGCAGGTAACTTCTCTCCCTTATGCACTTTTCTTCTTTTATGCACACATGGACAATATTATGGCCGGCTGCTATAGAGGTGCTATGAGCCCTTCCATTAGTTTAATTTTAATCAGAAAGGGGCTGGTTCGCTAGGGAAATATCATGGCCGAATCAGATGATTTCGAGAGAAACTTTGTGCGATTTGGTCATTCGCCGGGAAGAAGAACAAGGGGTTGAGCTCTTCTGATCTTATTCTGTCTGCGTCTGGGAGGAGTCGGCCATGGTTGCCAAGTGCCAATTTACTCTCCTATAGATCTTCTTTATTTGCTCGCTTGAGGATGACGCTGATTCTGGGCATTATTCTTAGCATAAGACCAACGGAGGTTGCTGCTCGCTCACCGGAGAAGATGACGCCGATGCGATGCCGTCGCTGCAGAGTTTTCTTCGCGCTTATGTTCGCCGATGGGCTCTAGGCTGTCGTACCTCTTGCGTGAAGATGCCCAGGGATGAGGATGCTGTACTGTTTTTAATAAATATTGGGCATGTCCAGAATTTTAGCCTCCTCAAAGGGTAGTTCTAAAAGAGGCCCAATTTTCTGCTATTTCATGTCCATTGTATATGGTGTCATTTATTGAAGAGGAAGGAGATTGACTAATTATCGATCGTCGGTGTCGCTTGGAGCCTTTCGTTGGGCTTTCGTTGGGCTAGTGATACTGATCTAAAGAATTAGGCCGATTTCCGATCGTCGGTGTCGCTTGGAGCCTTTCGTTGGGCTAGTGGCATTGATCTAAAGAATTAGGCTGATTGCCGGTCATGGGTGTCACTTGGGGCCCTTTTTTGGGTTAGTGGAACATATCTAAAGAATTAGTCTTATTGTCGGCCGTCGGTGTCACTTGGGGCCCTTCGTTGGGTTAGTGGCACCGATCTGAAGAATTAGGCCGATTGCATATCGTCGGTGTCGCTTGGGGCCCTTCGTTGGGCTAGTGGCACCGATCTAAAGATATAGGCCGATTGTCGGTCATTGGTGTCACTCGGGGCCCTTCGTTGCACCTGTTGACGACTGAGATGTTGCCGCTACTTTCGACCTTTGTCCATTCTGAAGGAGCTTGACTAATTATTGGCCAGTGTTACTGATTTCTTTGTTCGTCTAGTCGGAAGATGAAATCAATTGCTCGGGCTTGAGATTGATTATCATTGCTGAGCGGCCTGTTTTTTTTCTTTATCATCATTATTATTATTATTACTTTAGGTTTTTTAGTAATAATAAAAAGAATAATGATGTTTTTTTTGCAGTCCAAAATGATATATTTTAAGGACGTAAGGCGTGGAGGCAAAAAGTGTCTCTCAATATCAACGAGCAAGAAGAATGACGAAGAGATTCTTTTGGAGATGCACAAGCCATTTGCTCGCGAGTTTTGGGGTCCAACGGTTGTGTCCTATCGAGTTACAAACTGGACTCCTGAGTGCGAGTATCAAGCTCAGACAATGCGGACTTTAGTATCTGGCTTTACTCACATGTCCTCTTCTGAGATTCGTCCTTCTTTGGGTAGACGTATCCTTGATGAAAACATCCCTTTGACAAAGACCTTATCATTTGGTGGTGAGTTTAGATTCATCACAGGTTATTGGGACTGGGCCGAGGATATTTTGAGCATGAGTAAAAGCGTTCTGGAGGAAGGTCTTATTTACGATGCTGTTTATGCCTCATTATTCACGTATGATCGATGTACTAATGCTATTCAAGCATTTTGTGAGGCATGGTGTCCCACGACGAATACTTTGCTTACGTCAATTGGCGAATTGACGATCACACTTTGGGACTTGCACGTTATCGGAGGATTGCCTATCATAGGAGACGCATATGATAAATCTATTACGGGCACTTTTGAGTTGTTAAATACGAGCGATGACCGTTCATTTCATCTCTGCAAATATTTGTTTCACGCATATCATCATCTCTTTCCCAAAGCCAGAGATAAGCGTGTTTTGCGTGTTCATGCGTGGGTCAAATTATGGTTTAGAAAGGCCTCCAAGTATACTATGCCTCCAGTGAGAACAGAAAAGAAATGAACATCTCGTGCCAAGGCGACCCATAATCCGAGCGGAGCTATTCCAAAATTTGGAGGATGATCGAATTCTATGAAGGTACTATTCCACGTACTCAAAGTTCCTGCTGAATATGAGGAAGAGGTATATTTAGCGGCATTTTTATCGTGTTGGCTTTGTGCATTTGTATTGCCGCATGAAGGTCCTAGAGTTATCCGCCCGGAAACATTCAGAGTTGCTTGTATGTTGGCTCGAGGGAAACGTGTATGCCTTGCGGTCCTGGTTCTTGCAAGTGTCTATCATGGGCTTAATCGGATCTCGAATGCTCCAGCTTCTGATCAAGTTAGAATGTGTTTTCCCGTTCACTATGTCTTTGGATGGTTGGCGTCATACTTTGATATGCATTTTTAGGAATGAGATCCAGTCCACGACGCCATTAATGATTTCTTATTCGGGAGAAAATGGAGCGAGATCCCTCGAGAAGAGAAGTGCGCACAAACGAATTTTCCAGGGAGATGTATCAGCATGGATGTGTTCTACACATCGGAGAATCAAAGAATATTCATTCTTCGATGGTAAAAATCCTCCAGAGGTTGAGTTGGCGCTTTTTAGGAGTCTTCGGTCTAATTATCTTGTATTACACTACCGGGATAATTGCATTGCTGAGCCTTACACTCCTCAGCGCTTTAGTCGCCAATTTGGGTATTTTCAGGCTTATGCTTCTGGCTTTCTTGAGATGCGTAATCGGAGTGTCACACTTGCTGCTGGCTTTCAGCTTTGGCTATAGTTTGAGCACGGCATGTCACAAGCTGAAGCGGTATTTCCGACTCCTCCTACTATTCCAATGAAATTTTATTCATTGCAGTATAAAGAATGGTGGGGTCAAGTCCATGGAAGTTATTTGGAGAATTATGTGAGCGACTTGATCAAGATTTGCGATCTTGCGGTTGGTGATGTGATCACCCCTTCAGATCCTGTGACTCCAATCTCCAAGAAGAAGAAAATGCCTGATACTGAAGCTGAATCTTTGCCTCAGAAAAAGGCTAAGCTTGTAGCACCTAGGGCTGAAGTTTTGATTAAGGATGTTGAGAAGGAAATGTCTCCTGCCAATGAAAGGCGGAGTAGTGATGAGAGGAACTGGAAGCATTTTAGGAAACCTCATGTTGGGCCACTGAAGGTTAGTTTCATCATTTCATAGTTTTTTTAAAGCGTGTACTTATATTTTTTTTTTTCTTTTGCAGATTCATGCAGTCCTTGATGATGCTAGTTCCTCGAATCATGTTTCTTCATCTAGCTCAAGTGAAGGAGAAAGCGCAGATCATGACACCGTCGCTGGATAGATAGCAGAAACCGGCCCAAGTCATTGCAAAGAAGTTCCGATCCATGAAATACCCAAGTCTTCTCATGCGAAACCGGCTGCATCTGTATTCCATGCAGAAGACTACTTATTTACTTTGTATAAGCAGTTCATCATTAATACTTGGAGTGGCATTCAACAAAAGTTAGGACGGGCTACAGCAGAGAACGTCTCATCTCTTCGGGAGAGTGTTGAGAATTGTGTTATCTTGATGGAGAAGGAGGGCATTGACCTTTCCATGTTGAAGACGAGAGTGAAGCATTTCTTTGAAAGGGCACAAGCATTTGATCAGACGTGCTCGACTGTTGCTGATAGGGTTTCTTCTGAGAAACAATCTCAGGAATTGGCTATGTCGCAGGCTTTTTGTGAAGATATTGAAGCTAAAAGATCTCAAAACCAAGTGACATTACTTGATGATGAGAAATCTCTTAATGATATCAAGAAGAAGATAGCCTTATTGGAAGCTGAAGCTAAGGAAGTAGAAGTTTCGATCTCCAAGCGTCGTGTAGAGGCTAGTGACTTAGACGCAGCTCTTAAGAAGGCTAACGAGGAATCTTCACGAATTTTGAAGACTATCAAAGCATCAGATGAGGATCAATTTATTTTAAGTACTCAGATGAAGGAGCTAGAGGCCTTGAAGGATGACTTAGTTAGCTTTAAATTGTTTTTAGGCTGATACTTAGCTCTTAGATTAGCTTTTAGTCAGCAAACAACTCTTTTCTTTACTTCTTACCAAACTATATATGGATATTTGCTTCCTTTGTTGCTTCTCATGAGTTGATATTTCCTTGCTTCTTCTTCTGTTTTCTCTTTTCTTTTTTTTTTCAAAGTGACTGAGATCAAACTTTATTGAGGGTTTGTGTTGTTATAACTAAACTTAAAAATGAAACTTTTGAGCTGCCTACGTACTCCTATGAAGGAGATCAATTCAAACGTAGTTCATAAGTACCATTTGAATTGGTAATCTAAAGGACGGGGCCGTACACAGTTTTAACTCATGCGGGCCAGGAGCTTGTCGTACACATTTTAAACTCTCGTGGGCCAAGAGTATCTATGATTATGCTCACCCATAGACAAGGTGAGATGTTTTAGCAGTTTAGCCACTTACAACATCATTGGTGGTTTAAGCCATTCAACATTTCTTATGGCCATATCTATACCCCAAATATCAAGGGTAGTAGAGCTTTAAAAATCTTCCATTGATCGGGCCAATCTTTGAGCCATCTCCATCAACCAACTTGTAGGCACCGCCTGAATATACTTCTTGAATAACATAAGGACCATCCCATTTAGGTGAGAATTTGTGCCCCGTTTTTCGTGTGATAATGATAGGTCTTCTCACAGCTAGAACTTTATCGCCAACTTGAAATGAGCAAATTCTAACCCTTATGTTGAATGATTTCGACAGACGAGCCTGATAGCATTCTAGGTTCTGCTGAGCTTCTAACCTCTTTTCATCAAGTGCCTCAAGTTCTGTCAACCGCAACTTGACGTTTTCTTCATCAGTGAGTCCTTCTTGAATAGCCAATCTCAGAGATGGTATTTGGCGCTCAAGGGGAAGGACTGCTTCGGTACCATACACCAAAGATTATGGAGTGCTTTGGGTAGGTGTTCGATAAGTTGTTCTATATGCCCATAATGCTTCTTCCATTCTTTCGTGCCAATCCCTCTTTGATTTTGACACTACTTTCTTCAACATGTTGCATAGAGTCTTGTTAAAAGCTTCAGTGAGGCCATTGGCGGCAGCATAGTACATAGAGCACTTCCGTTGCTTGAAATCAAACAACTTGCATATCTTATCCATCAACTTGTTGTCAAAAGGTTTCCCATTGTCCGTCAAGATATATCGGGGAATACCAAAGTGGTAGATGATATGAACTCGGATGAAATCAGCAACATTTTCCTTCTTCACCTCTTTCAATGCAACTGCTTCGGCTCATTTTAAGAAGTAATCAGTAGCGGCTAGTATGTATGAATGCCCTCCTGATGAGCTAGGCGTGATTGGCCCAACCACGTCAAGTCCCCAAGCGTCAAATGGCCATGATGCTACTGTCGGATGCAAAGGCTCCGGTGCTTGATGGATGAAATTTGCGTGATATTGGCATGTTTGACATCTTCTAACATAGTCCATGCAATCCTTTACCATGGTCGGCCAATAATATCCCATCCTTTTGATATGAAAGTACAACTTAGGACCGGACTGATGAGCTCCACATACTCCTGAATGTGCTTCTTCCATTGCTTGTAAGACTTCATCTCCACCCAAACACCTAAGGAGTACACCATCGAATGATCTTCGATAAAGTGTATCTTTATAGTAAATGAAACGCGGTGAACGCCTCTTCAAGTCTACTTTCTTGCGGGGATTTTCAGGTAATTTCCCATCAGTGAGATAATCAATAAGCGGCTGCCTCCAATCTTCATTTTCAATATCATAAATCGAGGTAGTTGGCATCTCGACTATCTCTTCGGCTGCACCATCGTCTCCAATGAATGGAGGAATTACCCATTTTTGACATACCCGTACTTGAGTTCCATCGTCAAGGTGTGCCATGTTCGATGCTAACCCTGCCAGTGCATCGGCTTGCTTGTTTTCCTTTCTTGGCTCGTGTTCAATTGTAACTTCACCCAGCCATCCTATGAGTGCCCTTGCATATTTGTTGTAAGGATGCAGTTCAGGTTTCCTTACTTCATAAATTCCAAGCACTTGATTGATGATTAGTTTTGAATCGCCATAGATATTAACTCGTGTTTGCTTCATGTCTACAGCTATTTCAAATCCGAGAATGAGTGCTTGATATTCACCGACATTATTGGAGCATTGTTCCGTAAGCGTGAAAGCATAAGACAGAACTTGACCTTCGGGTGTAACAAAGACCACACCAGCTCCAACACCTTCTGTATGTGCAGCTCCATCAAAATACATCTTCCATGGAGGCAAAACTTCAATTATGAGCACATCTTCATCAGGTAGATCATCAGAAAGTTCTCACTCAGCAGGGATAGGGTGATCGGCTAGGAAATCTGCCAAAGCTTGTCCTTTTACAGATTTTTGTGAGACATAAACAATCTCAAACTGTTGAAATATCAAGTACCACCTAGCAAGACGATCAGATAGAACCACTTTGGACATTACATACTTCAGCGGATTTGCTCTGGAGACAAGATTTATCGTGTGAGCTTCAAAGTAGTGTTTAAGCTTCTTAATTGCAAATATAAGGGCCAAACACAATTTCTCAATGGGTAAGTACTTCAACTCGTGTGAGGTCATCATTCTACTTAAATAATAAAGGGCATTTTCTTTTCCTTTATCATTTTCTTGAGCTAATAGAGCTCCCACAGACCTTTCTTGAGCAGCAATGTAAAGTATTAAAGGGCGACCGGAGACAGGTGCATTTAGGACCGGTGGTTTCATCAAATAAGCCTTGATATTTTCAAACACATTTTTACACGTCTGGTCCCATATGAAAGGCACACCCTTCTTCATAATTCGACTAAACGGTTGACATCTCCTAGATAAGTTCGAAATGAACCTTCGTATGTAGGCTAGTTTTCCTTGCAAACTCTTCAGCTCATGAATATTTCGAGGCTCTGGCATATTCACAATAGCATCAATCTTGGCTTGTTCTATCTCAATGCCTTTGTGACGGACAATGAAGCCCAAGAATTTCCCGGCCGCAACTCCGAAAGCGCACTTTAGAGGGTTCATTTTGAGACCGAACTTCCTCAAGCGATCAAACACTGTTCTTAAGTGTGACAGATGTTCGCATCGGACTTTTGACTTCACCACAAGGTCATCAACATAGCACTCCACGATTTTGTGGAGAATATCATCAAATATTGCCTGCATAGCTCGTTGATAAGTCGCTCCGGCATTCCTAAGTCCAAACGGCATGACCGTGTAACAATAAATCCCCTTAGGAGTTCGGAAGGCAGTCAATTCTTCATCTGCAGGAGCCATCCGGATCTGATTATAACCAGAGAAACCATCCATAAAAGACATAATTTCATGCCCATTCACAGCATCTATCATTAATTCAATGATTGGAAGTGGAAAATCATCTTTTGGACAAGCAAGGTTAAGATCCTGAAAATCAACACATATTCGGATTTGTCCATTTTTCTTTCTGACCGGGAATTAAATCTAGGCGGAAGCGCCTTTGAGCCTGCTTTACTGGTCGGCATCCTTTCTTTATCGCTAAGTGATGAACAACGATTTTTGGATCCAAACCCGGCATTTCTTTGTATGTCCATGCAAAGACATCCTTTTATTCTTGGAGTAAGGCCACATATTCTTCTTTTTCTTCGCTCGATAGAAGAGCACTGATATAAATGGGATGAGGGTCCTCTTCGGTGCCAAGATTTACCTCCTTTAGTTCATCCAAGGCTGTTCGCACTCCTTCAAATTCCGGAGGAGCTTCATCAGCATCTTCACCTTCTACCGGGATTTCATCACCAAAGGTAATATGGTAAGATGAGGCAATGTATTCCTCGTCATCAATCAGTTCATCATATTTGAACTTATTGTCTGTCGGCATTCGAGTATGAATAATTGTTTTCAACTGTACTTTGAGAGTTTCTCCACATGAGACTTGCACATCAGTTTCTCGCCTCATTCGGGATGGAATCAAGCTTCTATATTCATTCAAAACTTGTGTTTTTGTATATTTGTTTAGAGACTTCTTACGTGAGCGAACTTTCCCCAACCTTTCATGTACCGGCTTTCTCTCAAAGTATTGCCCACTACATGGGTCTTCCATGTGCTTTACCATGAAGGGGATCATTCCAAGCCTTTCTTGTAAAGTTTTCTTCATGATCTTCTTTGGCTTTGGCCCCATTCTATCAAAGATGGCGGGTTTTGATTCCCCCCCCCCCAATCCGATCAAAAACGGAATACTTCGGTTTAGAAGTCACCTCATCTTCTTCATCCGCACTGATATGATGCGTTGTGGCTCTATTTATGAGGATTCTTATGGGATTCGGCTGAACGTAACCCAACCATGTATGTCCTCGAAGATTGATTTGCTTCGATGGTCCTTCTCCACCAGCTTCTGGAATGAATTTTCCTAACTTCTATTCATTAGGATTATACCCAGCCTTGGCCAGAAGTTTGTATGCATTTGGGTCAAATCCTTCATTAGTGCGTGCTTTAGGGATTTGAAACTCCTTAACATCATCCTTGTGATTTCTTTCTTCCTCAGACATGTCTTGAGGAGGCCTTGATATCTCGATCTTTGCAAGAGGGAACATAAGCCCTTCTATGCCTTCAACAACTTTCTCTTTCAGCTTTGGTTGAATCAAGGGGCGATATTCTTCTTCTTGTCTAACATCGTCTTCTTTAGAAACTTTGGCCTTTTGGTAAAACTTTGCATCTGCAAAGTATGTCTCGGCTTCGGTGAATGGAGTTTCATCGGCCACTACCTTCTTTACAACACCGTTCTCCTCATACATGAAGCATTGGTGCCACGTTGAAGGAATTACACCGTTCTCATGGATCCATGGACGAACTAGAAGGAGATTATATGAAGCCTTTGTTAGTATATATGTCCTAGCGACAATCACTTTTTAGAGATATATGTACTTGATCACATTCAGTTTTATATATTTGATATATACGGTATTACACATCGATGATTAAGTATTTCGATTGTCAATATCTTATTCATAATTGTGTTCCCTTGGACTTATGTTGTCAATAAGTAAGTGGGAGCTTATATGATATAACATAAGGTTCTAAAATAGCCCCAATCAATGATCATCAAGAATGAGATATTGATGATATGCGAT